TACCAAAAACTTTTCTCCATCTTCCCCTTCTTTTCCCCAAGTGAATGACTCTGTTGCTCTAGAACACGAACTTGAACAAACTCGTTCTGTGGTATCCATGGAATTCCAGGATTTTTTCTCCTATGCCAGTCGATAGTTCTTTCGCTGATCTCAATACTGTGTTGTCTACTCTTAATCATCTGGATGTTGACGCTGAACGCTTCCGGCTCGTGAAAGTGGTATTCCCTACTTCAAAATTTCAACGTATGGTGCTTAAGCGTGCTTCCCTAATGCGCTCCTTTTTTATCAATAGGTTTACATACGCCCATCACGCACTAAAGAAGAGAGAGAGCGCATTCGGAAAGAGCAAGCAGCGGCCAAAGGTAATACAGTACATTCACAGCCTGTTACTGTTGATGGCGACACTGTTCAGATTGTTCCTCCTACCTCGTTTAATAATAACTCAAAAAACGTTTAAGTAATCATCGGTCTTTTGTTGCTTTGTTGAAATGTATGTGTTCCAATGTTCGTTCTTTGCTAAAAAATGGTGGAAGTTTTACGGCTTACCTCTGTAGGCAGAATTGTGGCATGGCCATTCTTTGTGAAACGTGGTCGAACACTAAGCATGAGGTGTCCTCGTTATTGAGTATTGCTGCTTCTCACCACAACAGTTTTCTCCATCTTCTCTCTTGCTTTGACCTCGGCATAGATGTTTCTGATTACAAAATTCTTGTGCCATGCGAGGTTGTTAGGTGGAACATTTATTAATCACAACGGCCTAACGTTTCTACGCTTTCATCTTCTTCAGAGACCAAGGTTCCACCGCTCAAGCGGATATAAAACCCGCTCTCGCCACAAGCCGAACTTCCTGGTATTATCCCTGCGGAAGACTACTAAGATGTGGATCGGAGTGCTATATAGGCGATATATTTATATTGTTTATAATATAAGAAAAATAAGGTTGCTGTGTGCTTAGCTAAATTCTCTTCTCATGTCTTCTGTACTCCATTTTCCCTTTTATCCTTTTAGGACCACAAACAGCGGATGCTGTAGAATCGCGTAGGGGTCGCGTTAAGAACAATACGCATTGCTCTACTGTTCTGGAAGAATAGCATCATATCTACCACCGTAGATGCACTCTGAAAATAGCAGGCATGTTTGTTTGCGTTCAAAGCACTTGCTAGAAGGTCGTACTCTTTATGGGTGTGAGTCACGATAAGTCGATCAGGCTTAAATTGTATAATAGCCACCTAGGTTCCTACATCTCCATCAGGAGAATTATCATAGAACTACGGCCACGGCGGATAGCTTTGAACATATTTTGTACAGTTGTACTGGCTGCAGTGA